TATATATATATACAAATATATATATATATATACACAAAATATATATATACAAAATATATACAAAAAATATATATATACAAAAAAAAAGTGAGTTCTTCATGAGGTAAATCAGAACAAAAGAATAACCCCTACATTGGCATCTGTTAGCATAAAAAGGGATTCATTTTATTTTGGTGCTTTTGTAATGTTTTAATTTGCTCTGAAACACATTTAAATAGTAATCATAACAAAGCTGCACAATATAGATGTGAATACAGCATAGCCTTCTATAGAAGACGGAAACTTACCTGTTATATTCTTTAAATAACTGGGATACCTTTGCAGAATAGGTACTCAAATCTTTGGAAAACCGACAAAGATCATTTAATTGAGTCTTAATGTCATCATTAATGGACTCTGCCTTCGTTAGGGCATCCAGAGTTTCCTTTAACAAACAAAACCATAGTAAAAAACTATAACATGATTATGTAGCACTAACGGTAAAGTGTTGTCACCATTTTTTATATACAGTTTTTAAAAGTTTGATAGTGTAATGAATTGTAATAATACAGTTATTATGATGAATTAACACTGCACTAGATCTTAGGCAAAAGCCTGAGAAACAGTAATGGGACTGCTCCCTTTAATAAGCCAAGGTCAATTGGTAGAAAAGCATCCCAACTAAACTGTTGTCTCTCACCTGAGAATCTGCTACATTTTGGTCTGGATCAGCAGTTCTTAAAGTGAGGTCCTGAAAGCAGTTCTTTCAGGGAGTCACTGAAGTCAAACACATAATCTGACATGATTGAGGGGAGGTACAGTCAGTCAAACTCATGATCTGACAAGGCAAATTTTACACCAATTTTAGATAAAAGTATTCAGACTGTAGTTTTAAAAGATGCCAAGTCAACCAGGCAGATTTTATTATTTTTTGGTAGACAAAAATTCAAAAATGACACATACAATAAGAAAATGCTTTTTAAACTGCTTTTTAGCAAATAGAGTTCAACAAACCATGGAATCTCATATGGGAATGAACTCATATAGGCTACACTGATTATGTTTCGCTGAAGCAAGTGAATCTGTTTTTATTGCATTTATGCATGTATTCTGGTCAATATTAAGAGGAAAAATTAATACCACACTTTGTTCTGAATACATAAATTCATGAACTGATTAACGAACTAAATGTTCAGCTGATTAATCAGTGGGATCAGGTTTAAACTATGGAGGTAAAGTTATTAGCTAAAGCTGAGAAATAAGCTAGTTATATCTACCTCAATCAACCTTTTCAGCCAAAAGAATCACTTCCAAAGTTAGAATAAAGTCAAACCCTACCCTCGTAAGCATTTTTTAAATGAATAATCATGGAATTTGTTGAATAAAAATAATAAACCACATTTTTTCTTCTACTGCCCAAATTTATACATGATGAACACAATAAGAAATTACGAATGATATTCACAATTTAAAACAATTTTGACATTCTCTTCTTGAAAACCCAGCAACTCTATTAAGGAAGATGTTTTCAGAGAGCATAACTGCAAAACTGCAGCTTCTCAAGGCTTTTTGTGTTGTTCCCACCTCCTTCCTCACCCACTGCCAATTGTTTTTAGGTAAGCTGAAATGAAATTTCATGGTTTTAAAATTGGATAAGTTAGAAAGAAGTAATGGAAAAATTAGCATGAACAAAGATGAGACTAATTCGTGCTTTGACCAGTGTTGTTCCATGTCCTATCCACATGATGCCCCCCATTCTAAAATGAAGGCCTTTCTCTTATGCACCCATGAAATAAGAGAAACAATTACTGAGACAGTGTTTTAAATGGAATGGAAGTTATTTTAATAATCTAAATTGTTTGGAGACTCATGGCATGACCAGCTTCATTTTCCACATTTTATTTTGCCATTAAGGGTTAGTTTGATGCCAAATGATTGCTTTTATAATTTTTCCTGCTAAGAAGAGGAAGATTTCAGTCCAATTCTCATTGGCTGGGTATAATGCTCTCACACTTACTTTAACTACAAAGTGTCACAATAGTGTATAAAAGTCCTATTTTCCCTTGTACTGTAATTTCTTTAGCAGTGTTCAACCTCCCTACAGTAATTTCTTGTCCTTTGATTAAATTCCAAAGCAAAATATCAGGAGGGAGCTTTTCTTATGGGCAGGAAGCAGGGATGCTGTAGAAGTTGGAAAAATAAAGAACACCCATTGCTATCCCACAAAAACCAAGCAATCTAGTAAAATACATTTTAAATTACCCTAAGGCTTAAAAAAAGAAGTATTTTTTTCACCAGACAAGAGACTTCTGCACAGCATTGGTGAAAGCATCTTGGAAAACTGAATTAAATAGGCTTCTATATCCTATTTCTGCTAAAAGGCCCCACTTTTATTTTTTACAAAGAACAATGAAATGCAGCATGAGTACACACAGGAAGCTGAGAAATAATTCCACAACATTAATAACATCCTGCAGTTTTATATATAGCGCAGGCGTCCTGAAACTTTAATCGCTAATGGATACATCTGGAATTTTGAAAATATATTGTGGGTGCACCCTAAGAGATAGAAAGTTATGAAGCACACATTTTTCACAACATGACCAGCCACGTCCTGCAGGATGCTCCTTCCTATCTTGTCTGTTCTCTGGGCAAATGGACACAGTTCCCATCAAAGTGCTGAAATGTAGCAGCCACCCATCATTTTTACTTTCATGGATAGCTTATGAGATCCATTTGGGAAACAGAGGAATTTTTTGGAAATAAAGATGCTGCTGGAAGCTGGCACATTGCTTTGAAATATTCCAGTTTCTGGAGCTAAAATACATACTTAAAAAAAAAAAAAAAGTAAAAAGCTAGGTGGAGCAGGCACAGAGAGGTGTCTGTATGTCACCTCCTCTGGACTCCACCCTGGAGACCCAAAATGCCATGCGTGCCAGTCCAGCAATGTTAAGCTTTCAGCTGAGAGAGCATTTAAAGTTTTTGTTTTGCAATTCTTGTGTTCTATGCTGTTTTTGTGCAAGTGAGGGCTCTCTTCTGGTCTGTAGCAACTTCTCCCTCCTCCCCCACAAAGTGTAGGACTGGCTCAAACAGAAAGAAAGCAGTTTACCTTTTCTCGGTGCCAGCATTCCACAAGCTCTTTGTCTGTGTGCTTACTATCCAGAGGAGTCAGGCCTTCAGACCAGGTTGCAAGCAACGTGCTGAAGTGCTGCAAGGCCTCTTCCAGATGAACAGCCTGCGCTGTGAACTCCTGCTCTGACCACGCCATCTGGCTCTCCAGCTCCTGCAGCCCGTTTCGCGACTGGAAAACACTCTCTTCCCACTGCTTCCAGTCAGACTGGAGGGCCTGCATTTCAGCGTCCATGTCTTTGCACCCTTGAACAGTTGTGTTCTTTTTCACAACAGGAGCCAGCGTCTGGATCCTGTGGAGGCGACCCTCACCAGTCTTCCTGGAATCTATCAGCTCCTGCAATGGAATATCACCATGGTAACTGAAATGGCCGGGATCCACTTCAGCTGAACAAGCGACATGTAGCATTTTTACAGAGCCGTTAAACAGCTCGCTCCACGACCATCGGCAGTTTCACCAAAAGCGTATGCAAGCTGTGCTAAAATGTAAGGGAAAGGTAAAAACAGAAGCACAGGCAGAAACAAAACAAAACAAAGCCACGCATAAACTAGCAACAGTCAATATTTGAAAGACATTTAGAATCCAACAGGAAAAAAGTAACATTCTCTGAAAACACAGAACTGAGTTGGATTTCGTTAAAATAAACAAGGTATCTGGTTGCTCTAGAAGTGTCATCGGCTTGGCTAAACAGTTTTGAGATAGAAGTTCAGAAGAAGGGGGATATAGCAAAAAAGTCTGCCCAGTATTTAGTATCATTTTTAATGAGAAAAAGAACCACTTTCTTATATTAAGCATTTTATATAATGCTTTGTTTTAGGTATTAGATAAAGTGGCAACATTGTTATGTGGCATATAAACTGGATTTGGGGAGAAAAGTTATTTCACAGTTTCTTCTGTATTGCTATATAATTGCCATTTTGATTTACTTCATACTCACTGTTTAGCTAAAGAGGCAGTCCTTATAAACATAACTGAAATAGAAGCTATGTGCTCAGCTGAATGTAAAAAAAATAGGTTGGCTTTAATGGTTGTTTTCCATGGACAAAAGGCTCCTTCCATCTACACAAGACTTTTAATCTAATAGAGGGATCCCACTAGCAAAATAAAGCCTTTTTTTTTTTTTGCAAAAGTCCCCTCTTCCCTATGTTCCTGTGCAAAGGATTACTGGGGGAAAGAGAACAAGGCAAAACTCAGTGTCCTTCATTTTGCTGCAGGAAGATGAACTGGGGAACTGGAAGAGCCCAGCCAGTGCTGGTTCCAAAGTAGTTAGCGTGTTTTCTATCATTAAAACTCATTATGCCGATATCTTAACACACACATACAAAAGTTAATAATAAAATTATGAAACAATTTCTCACATTGATTTTGGCCAGTTTTTTCGTTATGGTAGACAAATCCCCTGAGGTGTCTGACCAGCGGTGAAGCTCTTCTTTTGCTGAATGAAACCAATCAGAAAATTCATGCACTGCATCAAGGTATAGCAAATGGTCTTTGACAATATCTTCCACTATTCTCATTTTTTCCTGTAAATCAAAAAGAGGTTGTGTTCAATACTGTGTTTAAGGAACAGAAACAATTTTTTTCTTCAAACCTCAGCTGATTTTTTTAAAAAACACGTTACAGTTTAGCATGATGTGTGAATCCTGTCACGGACTCACTGGTAACTCATGTAATTGTGTTGACTGTATAATATAATTGTATTAGCATCATTATATTGTAACTTTGAGATCTTCTTGATTAAAACTTCTGTAATTGTGGGTGGCATATATATTACAAAATATTCACCTTGGCAACTGTTGCAATATTTGTGAATTTTGTTTTCAACTCCTCTTGAGCAGTTTCTCCAAAAGAATCATCCTGTGTCTTCTCATGCAATTCTCTGACTTTTCCTATGAGCTGATCTAAGTCATTAGAACGTTCTTCCACTTCTGAAACAATAGTTTGGAAGCAGTCCAGCTGGGAAAATTTCTCTTTTAGGCCATTCTGTGGTTCCAAAGGCTCTTCCACTCTGTGGACTACTGAATCCAACCATTGATCCAGCTGGCTTTTCTTCTCCAGATAGCAATTCCACTGATTTATCACAAACTCCAACAAGCTTAGTTAACAGAAACACACATTGAAATCAAAATCGGAAAAGCTTTTAGGGAAATAAATTGAGTTAAAACATCAGGTATGTTGCAAAATATTTGCCCCAGTATGATTCTCCATTTGTAGATAAGCAATAAGGACGTATTGTAAGTATGGGGGAAGGAAGAAAAGGCTGTCCAACTGATTCAGGATTGAAAAAGGGCTTAACGTATTTTTCTGTATAT